CTGATTCTTCACATGTGCTGTCAAAGGGAACTGTCCAGGAAAGGAGCTGCCACATCCCAGTGCTTTACACACGTTCATGCACACACACATACACACACACGGGCACGTACATACTCTTTGCACCTGAAATTTACTCAGTTATTTCACTGAAATATAAATATCCAGAAAATCCTCCATCCTAGCAAACTCTTTCCTTGTTTATTAAACTAAATAGATTGCTCACCTCCTCACACATTTCTAACAGCCCCACATCGCTCTCTGAAACAAATCCACACTCCTCCCCTGAATAAATGAACAAACATCAAATCTGCCTGATTGTGTTGCTTTTATTCACACCTGTATCAGTCAGGGTTTGATCACAGAAGAAGAATCACCAGTAGAAACATAAATAATAAAGACTTCATTGAAGGGATTTGGACTTTACACAATTGTGAGAGCTGGTGACGCGGTTTACATAAGGCTGTTGTGTCTGCACCTGGTGTTGGGAACTGAGTCAGCAGGGCTGGCCGTGGGGAAGGAAAGATGGATGTGAGGTGGGAGAGAACAGGACCAGGTGGGTATGTGAGGCTGAGCCAGAACCCATGAGGACGGATGGAGGCCTGTCGATCTCTCACCATCTCCCGGTCTTCAGTGATACGCATGATCTGCAGGCAAAACCAGCGCCCTTGGTGGCAAAGGCAAACACGCACCTGGCCCAGGACTTCACAAGCCAAAGGAAGGCTTTGGCAGAAACGAAGGAGCTGTGGGCCCTACGGCTTCGGCTCCCACCAGGTGAGCCAGCAGAGCGACAAGAGCGTGAGCTGCTGCAGGGGCTCGCACCCCGCATTGCCCTTCCAAGTGTGAAAGACTCCAGCCACTGATTCATTTCTGCCTTCCAAGTCTCACACAAAACGTCCTGTGTGGCCCACACTAGACAAACTCCATGCAGGGAAAGGAATTCTGGAAAGCATATCTCCAACTTAGATAAGGGGACACAATAGGAATCGGCCACACGCCAGGGCAGATAAAACTCCTCTAGCTGTGTGGCCAGAAGTCAGGTTCCCCTGAGGCCAGGCTGCCTTGCGCTAGCTCAGAGAGGTTCTAGGCACGAGAAGCAGGTGGACAAGCTGGTGATTGACCCTGACTGGCAGGTAATGTTTAATGACGATGTTGAGGAGAGGAGGCGCAGAGTTCAAATGACAGCCTTGTCAGTTGTGGCACATGTAACAATTCAGACATATTTAGCACCTATTAGACGAGTGAAATGATAAGGACAGATTCCTGATGAGCTAGCCCTTCAGAGCATGTTGAGGAATGTAGCCTAGAGTCGAAATGTAGTCTTATCTAGCAGAAATAACATTGCTTAAAAATCTCCTGGTGTGTGGGGGAATTTAAAAAAAAGCAGATTTCCCAGGGACCCTGGCACAGCAGTTCTGAGAAAAATCCCAGGAATCTACATTTCAATGAACACTCCAGAGACTCTCATGCAGGTGGAGCTTGGGTCCACACTTCCAGCAAGACTACCCTAAAGTCCTGCATGTCAGAGAAACTCTCAACTCTACCCTGACTGTAAAAGCCAGTGACTGTGGGTTATTTACCTCGGGGAGCATCTTCAAAAGGAAGACAGCAATGAGAAAAATCTGCTATTTATTTTAACACAATATTCTAAAGGTTATTTTAAAATTCTATTTGTTAAGGGTTCATAAATGTTACTTTTTCTATTAATAAAGAACTTGACGGTTGCCAAAATGCATGCTCCACTCTGACTTGTCTACCAGCCCACACACCTTGGCTGCCTCGAAGCCACCGGAGATGTTCTAGCGTCACCTAGAAACCGCCCTGAGCACACGCTAGGTACCAAGTAAGGTGCCCGCCTTGCCAGAAGGCGACAGGAGCAGTGTCGCAGAAAGAGACTCAACTGGGGACAGCCAATGGTTTTGATTTGATTTTTAAATCATAACTAACTATGAGAACATGCTGTGGGCCCTTCCCTGAATGCTTGAGAGAAAAGAAAGAACATAGACTTTGGGATCTGGCAACTTGGTTTAAATCCCTGGTCCCTCACCTAGGCCATGTGTATCAGGCTTACTTTGCGCCTGACCTCACAGCTTGTTGCCTTGCCAGCTTCCTGCAGCTCTGGCCTCGGCTGCACTGTTATCTCCCAGTTTCTGCTCCGAGGCTTCACTAAAACAGCTGTGGGAACCTGTCAGGCATTCACACCTAAGCCTATGCCCCTGGAGTAACATCAGCCATGGGGATCCAGCACCCATAGCAAATTCTTCACCATCCTATCTCGGGCAGACAATTCCAAGGAACATGCTACCCAGCTCCTCCGAAAATTCCAGAGAAAGCAGTGGAAGCCCTTATTGCCCACAGTGATGGCCAACTCAAGAAAATCCCACACACACAACCCCCCCAATTGTATTAGTTTTTCCTCTCTCCATTTGTGTTTCTTGAGATCACTTGCCAATGCAAACTACCTGCACACAAGCCCTCTCTCGTGCTCTGCTTTCTAGGAGAGCTCAAGCTAAGACAAATGATAACTTTAGGCAACTCATTTATCCTCTGTGAGCCTTAATGATCTCAACTGTAATATGTTTCTCACAGGGACAGTGTGAAAATTAAGTGAAATCCTGTACAAAAAGCACTTTTCACATTGCCTGATCCAGAACAGAACCCCCTTTTCTGGGGGTCTCTCCCCTATTTGGTGAGGGGGAATTTCTTCTTAAAGCTGGGCCATCATCCCTGGCATCATTCTCACCACCATCACCACGACCACCGCCACCACCATTTCCTTCACCATTGCCATCGTCACCCATACATACATCACCATTAACATGCTCCAGTAGGTCACTGGACAGGACTGCTCTTGCCCAGGTCTGGTCAATTCTCTTTAGCTAGAGAAAATAACCGACAAGTCTCACTCTGTTATGTCTGCCTTGGCAAAATCTAAACACTAGCTAATGTCAAAATTTCCCAGCTAATCTTAACATCGAGCAGAGTGTTTTGGCCAATTGAAATCTTGCAACAACAGAGTTATCATTTTCTATGGCATACATCAGTAATACATTCCTGTGCCTTTCTAGGAATCAAAGTACAAGTGGAGAAGGATGGAAGTCTCATGGTAAAATCACTGAAGTAAGATGAACTGGATTTTAACTCTAATTATGTTAGGAATATATTATTTTAAAGTGTACCTAAACTATAAAAACCTATAAATAAGTTTCTCCATTCAATAAATACTTTAGTACTACTATGTGGCAAGTATCTACTAGGCACTGGAAAAATAACGGCAAACAAGATGGCAGGCCTTTCCCTCAGGGAACTTTGTGTGTAGTAAGAGACTGACAGGAAAATGGAGAATGACAATGGAGTGTGACCAGACCTGTCACTGGTGAAAGCAAGGAGAGCCTGACCTAGTTGGAGACAGGGAGTGTGGTGTGATGGGAAAGAGACACTCACAAGCGTTCCAGGCGGCAGGAAGGGCATGGGCAGAGGCCCAGATGTAAGAGAACGCGTGGCTTCATAGAACCACCAGTAACTGACCCCAGCTGCAATACGCCATGCAAGGGGGGAAGTCGGGAGAGATGGAATAAGAGGAGCAATCTGGGGCCGGGTCACAGAGGGAGCGTATGACGCTAAGGAGTTGAGGCTCAGTTTTTCTACACACATGGGCTCCTTACAAACATTTTTTTTCCTTGAAATGGCAACTTTGGAACAAAGCTAACTCAAACTAGATCAATGCTTCACAAAGGAAGGAGATGCCTTATTAGTACCTAGTTTTCTGGAAGATTTTATCCACCACGAATTAAAAAAAAAAAAGAGCATGGAGTTTGAGGGACCTTAATATCTACCCTAGAGCCACTTCCCCCATGTCTTTGTGGTGATACACATGGAAGTCACTGTCATGTGTGGGCAGGCATGTGTGTGAGCTCCTGTCTCTGTCTGACCGCTATGTCTAGTGTTTCCTAAGAACCCACATACACACCATTGGCCTCCTAGGGAGATATCCTTTTCCTCCCTGCCTAGGTAAACATCCAGGCTCATCGGCTCTGACATTGCAATCATCTTATAAGCAAAGCAGCACTTCCAAACCACTAAAGTGAAGGCCCCTCGCATGCCAGGGTGGCACCTCTTTTTTGGATCTACCATGTTCAATCCAGTGCACAGCTTGTAGTAAACATCCAGTAACGTACGTTTAAGAGATTGAATTGAACACTAAAATGGTGTCAAGGTCAGCATGAGTGTATTTAATAATTAAATGCTTTGGTATCTGTAAGCTAAAAGAAAGCCTCTGTGATATTAGGCTTTCCTACCCACTCGGGAATGATTTGCTCCAAAGAATACATCATTAAAATACTCTCCTAAATCTTCTCCTTCCCCTTTTATTTTCTTTAGATAACCAGGCCAAGACAGAGAGAAAGTAGAAACATTTTTCTCAGTAAACAAGGAAAGAGAAACTAGAAAATACAAAGAACGAGAGAGGACCGAGCCTTCCTAGGATCCCCTGACACCAAGAGATACAATTTTCCCTTTCATAAAAAGACTCTCTAGTACAAAACTAACACAAAATCAATGCTTCGCAGGCTAAACGTGTTATCCTTTCCTGGAACAAAGGCTCTGAACTGTTTTATTAGAAACTAATTTATGGGAAGAGTTTAGTCACCAAGAAAATGAAAGAGAGAAGAAAACTAAAATGTTGGTCTACTTAAAAGTTCTGAACTTGGCTCCCCTGTAGGAATGAATGATCATAACGACTTTGATAGACTGTTTTCCAAAGATTTCTGCAGCATAATCTCTCATCCCACATGCCCTACTCTCCCATATGCCCTTCTCCCTTGCCACTCCCTCATCAAGGGGGTGTCCCCGTGCCCTCCCCTTCGAACTGACTTGTAACCAATAGAATGTGGTGGAACCAACACTATGTGCATTACAGGGCTAGATCATAAAAGGCCACACGGCTTTTGCCTTGTTCTCTGGGACACTTGCACTCAGAACCCTAGAATATCAAGTGACAAGTCCAACCCAGGCTGCCAGGCTGTGACAAAGCCAAGCCACGGAGAGACTATGTGACACCCTGGTCGGTGGTCTCAGTCTTTGAGTCCTCATAGCCCTGTCACCAGGCATGTGAGAAAACAAGCCTCAGGTGATTCTAGCCCCAGCTGTGGAGCCACCTCAGCCTCTGCGTCTTGTAAGTTGAGGCCTCAGACACTGTGGAGCACAGACAAGCTGTCCCTCCTGTAGCCTTTCCAGGTTCCTGACCCACAGAATCCAGGTGCATAATGTAATGATGGTTGTTTTATGCTTCTAACTTTGGGGTCATATGTTATATAGCAATAGACAAAGAAACAACAGCTTGCACACGCTTAAAGTTGATTATGTGCTGTGGTCCTAGGGGCTTTACATCTATTAGCTTATTGAATATTTACAACTATCTTATAAGGTAGAGACCTGTTGTCTCCATTTGACATTGAAGACTCTCTATTTGGCACGATATGACACACAACGATATGAAGCACAACGGCAAATGGTGCATTTGCATGTTTATCTGAGAGGTGGGGAAATTTAACTACTACCTGTAGACCACTTTCAACATTTTTATCCTTCCAAAATGAACACTTTTTCATATTTTATTTACATCTGCAATACACAAATACATCGTCACTGTAGAATGCATCAGACAACTCCTAGGTACCATTTCGGATCCTCTTGGCCTCATCTGCCTCTTGTTATAGCTGCTGCTGCTGCTGCCAAGGATCTTTGTATGCTCTGACTCAGTTCAGCTGATGTCACCTGGCAGGCCTTCCCTCCAGCCTGTGCTACACACTCTTACATACCCCTCTGGCCTTCCTGTTGACCCCAGAGCAGAGCCCTAGTCAGCATCCTCACCCATGCAAACTCAAGTGCCGAAAGGTCAACATGAACATCGACCTATGGGAGAGGGAGCTGGTCAGTAAGTTCTTTCACTTTTTCTCCACCATCCCAGAAATGGTCCTGAGACCGAGCAGTTTTTATAGCTTCTTCTGTGGGAGTCCTATGGGACTAAAGCCAATCAATCACACTTAGGAACAGCCAATTCAATAGTCATTTTTGTCTAGGTTCTCCCTCCTTCCTTGTCTCACAGCCATCATTCCTCATTCCTGCTCCCCAGGCTTGCGTGTCCTAATAGTATATGAGCCTGCCTTCTGAGGTCCTGGGCTACACTGAGACATTTAGTATTCAAGCAGTATTCAGGTGTACTGGACAATCCGTGAAAGTCCCCCTTCAGAAACATTCCCAGCACTTCCTCTCTCCCCCAACACCCACTCCCTCCCTAAAAGTAACCACTATCAAGAGTTTTGCATATATCCTTCCAGTCCCCTTTTTATGCATTTATGCATACATATGTATATGTGTATGTATGTATAGGTAAATAAATATAGTTATGTATACATAAACATTTATCTTTAAAATTTTTTTACAGATATTAAATCATATCATTACCATTATTCTTAGTTTTATGGAGTTTTTACTTATCAACATGTCTTAAAGATCTTTCTAGGACATTCAAATGTCTCAAAGAATAATTCATACATGAAGTTAGAGATTCTGTGTGCTATTTAGCTATTCTGCATGCAAATTCTTCACTCACATGTGCAGAGTCACCTGGTAAAATGAGCAAAGGAATAAAGGCAAAAACAGGATCTATAAGAGATGGGAAGACTGTAAAACTTACGGTGGATCTTATTTGTTCTTTTTTGGGAGGGAAAAGTTTTAGCTGGCAGTTGACAAAGGAGCCAGTGTGGGAATTCTGTCTTTGACTAGGCTGACCATGCATACAAAGGAATGCAATTTCAGTAGTGTCTTAGCTGGGGCTGCTGTAATCAAATGCCATAGACTGAGTGGCTTAAACAACAGAAACATATTTTCTCATAGTTCTGGATGTTGGAAACCCAAGATCAGAGTGCCAGCATGGTTGAGTTTTGGTGAGGGCTCTCTGCCTAGTTTGTGGATGGCTGCCTTCTTGCTGTGTCTTCACATGGCAGAGACCAGAGAGAGGAAGCAAGCTCTCTAGTGTCTCTAAGGGCATGAATCCCATCATGAGGACCCCACCCCCATAGCCTCATCTAAACCTAATTATCTCCCAATGGCCCATCTCCAAATAGGGCTTCAACAGACAAATTTTGGTGGGGCACAATTCAGCCCATAGTAAGTAGTTCATGGATTCTCCATAAAATCTTGAAAGTCTGGTGGTAGAGCCTCATGACAGGCTGTCTCTGTGCAGCATCCACCAGAATGTCCAGTAGCACCTCCACCTTAGGCCAGCTCTGTGACATTTACCGCAGTAGAAGCTGTCCAGTGGTACGCACTCAGAGCTGCTTGGTCACCATGCCCTCAGCCTGCAGCATGGGAGCCTCCCCCACTGACAGCTGAGACACAGCTGGAGAGAGGGAGGAGCCTGAGAAGACATTGGTCAGCACCCCACTCCTGCTCAGCAAGCTCCTTGCTGTTGATGGCTGAATTCCTTGGCACTTTCTGACTATAGCTGGCTTTATAGTCAGAAGCAGCAAAACATACTTTTGAAATTCAGGCTTAAGGGGGCTTATAATCTGTATATAATTACATATATACTCCATTATTTTGTATTTATTATATAGTTAGGAAATATATAAAAAATTAAGTTAGGATATATATGCATATAAAATTTCACTGTTGGCTGGGCATGGTGGCTTATGCCTGTAATCCTAGCACTCTGGGAGGCCGAGGCAGGTGGATGGCTTAAGGTCAGAAGTTCGAAACCAGCCTGAGCAAGAGCGAGACCCCGTCTCTACTATAAATAAAGAGAAATTAATTGGCCAACTAATATATTCAGAAAAAATTAGCTAGGCATGGTGGTGCATGCCTGTAGTCCCAGCTACTCGAGAAGCTGAGGCAGAAGGATTGCTTGAGCCCAGGAGTTTGAGGTTGCTGTGAGCTAGGCTGACACCACGGCACTCTAGCCCAGGCAACAGAGTGAGACTATGTCTCAAAAATAAAATAAAATAATTAATTAAATAAAATAAAATTCCACTGTAGGTGGAAGAGATACTATTATTATTACTATTTTCAAGGTTACCAACCAAGTGATGGTAATTTATTACTTCATTCGACAAATATTAAAAATTTGGTTGATGAGGCACTGGTGATTAAACCAAAATGGCCCAAACAACTCACACTGTAGTGAGCAAGACATGTGTCAGCCAGCAGTTAAAAGCATCACTCGATGTTTGATAAGAGAGCAAAGTCAGGGGCTGGGAGAGGCCAGAGTAGCAGCATCTACATCAGCCTGGGGAGTCTAATGCATTGTCCCAGAAGCAGGGATGATGGTTGAGTGGAATACCAAAGGCAGAGTAAGAGCAAAGCAGGGAACAAAGAGAGGGATGGCTCAGGCTCAACTAGAGGCAGGAATGTTGAGCCCAGCATGTTGGGGGATTAGGATTCCCTGGGTCTGGCTGTGGGAAGTGATGGGAAATGAGACTTCAGAGCAGTGGTTCTCCCATTTTAACTGCTTCAGAGTCACCCAAGGGTCTGCTTACACACAGATTGCTGGACCCCACCCTAGAGAGTCTGGTTCAGTAGGTCTGGGCATGGCCTGGGAATCTGCATTTCTGACAGGTTCTGATGGGTGATGCTGCTGGTGCGGACTCCACACTATGAGAACAACTGCTCTAGATTTAGAAAGGAGGTGTAGACAGTTCAAGGCTCATTGCCAGCCAAGCCTCTTGACCATGGCTCCATGGCTTTGAAGTTCAGTGCTCAGGGGGACTGGGTCATGCTGATGACAGCAAAGACAGCAGTGAGTTTGGTTCCTTCTCTGCAGTCCCATGTCAGCTGTGTTGGGATCATTGCCTTGAAGCTTCCTTCCTTCCTAATCTCTTCCTCTGTGGCCCTTCAGCCCATTCTGCCTTTGACCCAGCAGTGTGTGTGATCACTGCCGCTCCAGTCTCCACCATCCCTCACGTCTGGGAAAGAGACAAAGCTTTCACAAGTTGTGTCGTCGCAGGTGAGTGACACCGAGGTGCTCCCACGCTCTCCCTAGACCCCATCCCCGACTTCTCATGAAAACTGTCCACTCTCAGGGACCTGCTTCCCTTCGCGTACAATGGAAACATGAGAGACCCTACAACTGCCCACATGTGAAGAGCAAAAAGTAACTGTTAGTCCTTGGTTTCTTGGCTATATTAGCTCACTTACTGTCATAAGGGACCAATTTTTTTTATGTCCTTGACATATTGGGGGCATTATAATTAGAAGAGAGAAGATTCCAGTGAAAGAGAACACAAGATAAGCTTTGTTTTCTAACAGATATAATGACCTTGGCCCATTTGAAATATTAGATTCAACCATATAAAATTGCCACTTTGGTGAGTCAAAACAGTCAAAATTTGTAAATTCACATGATTCACTGTAACCATATATTCTAATTACATTAAATATGTGTAGTTTTATGTATGTCTTAATTGTTTAAAATATCTCTATTATATATCCAATTAGAAATCCTAATTTTATATGTATATTCTGATCATATACATAATATATACTGATTAAATATATATCTTAATTATATATCTTCTAATTTTAAACATATTTCAACTGTACATATTTTAATATATCTTAATCATATATATCTGTAAAATATATATAATCCTAATTAAATAGGCTAATTTTATATACAGTATAAATTCAATTATGTATCTTCTAATTTGAAACCTATTGTAATTATATTTGTATATGTGTATATATAGATAGACACACTATAGGATATATGTAAAATTACAATATATTTATGTTAGAAGGCATATGTACACATTCAAACTCTGACCTGTAATAAAATCAGGACTGTTACTGTTGGTCTTTTGTGGTTACAATGCACACATATATGAATTCCTGAGAGCCTACCGCCACCATGTGTCTTCTTGTGGAACTACAGATGCCCATCACCTCTTGCCTTAGAAGGCATTTGCTGCCACTCATTCACTAGTTTAATGAACATTTAACACCTACTATGAACCCTGCACTGGAAGAGATGCAGAGCACAATGATTTCCAGTCAGAAGCCTCTCTGGAGTTCTTCAGGGCAAACTAGTTCCATCTCTCAGACCCACAATGTAAATGTGAGAAGAAGGCTGCATGTGGGAAGTGAGTTGGAGAGTAAATGTCCCACTGAGCAACCACTGCTCAGTTCTAGACAGTGGCTCCAAGAAGGGAGCATGGGCCCAGTATTTTTCTAAGAGAAGCCAGAAATTAAAATGTTGGTATTCAAATCATTGATTTTTAACTAACAACTTATTCTAATTATTTCCAAATACCACGAGCCAATATTATGCCTCTGCAGGCTACATTCAGCCTACATCCTGCCAAGTTTGAATCCCTGGTTTGTACTTTCTATATCCCTTTCCATCATTTTAGTGTGGTTTCACAAATGAGATGAGGGGTATGTTGACACCTAGAGATGCAAAAATAGACACAGTACTCTCACTAGGTCAGTTTGCCCTACAAAAATGGCAATTTCCTAATACCTACATTCATCCTAATATCTAGAAAGAGGATGTTCTAGATGTGTAATTAGCATGCCATTCTAGCATACTCACTGACTCTGTTCTGGAATGATTCTGACCGCCTGCCAGTCGTTGACTGACAGATTCTTAAAAGCTCCAGGATAGAGACAGGGTGAAGAAGAGGAACTATAAGGAGCCAGGGAGTCACAAGAATCCCCTTATTGATGATGTAAGAATCTCCTTAATCACTACCCATGTGGGTGTTAAACTGGGAGACAGTGAAGTGTTCTAAGATAGAAATCAGCTACATTCCACACTGTGTCTGTGGCTGGATTACCTACGCACTCTGACTAGTATCAGGAGAATTGGGAACTAATAAAATTAAGTTAGAACCCACAGCATGACTAAAATTGATAAGAATGACAATATGAAGTGTTGGTGAGGATGTGGTGCAACTGGAATGCTCACACATTGTTGGTGGGTGTGTAAACTAGTACAAACTTTGGAAAATGGTTTGGCAGTATCTTATTATATAAAGTGAACATATGCATATCTTATGATTCAGTAAGTCCCAGATAGATACCCAAAAGAATTGTATATGTTCACTAAAATACATGTATAAAAATGTTCCTACCAACTTCATTCATAATAGCACGAAACTTGAAATAATCAAATGTTCATCAAGAATAAAATGGATAAGTAAATTATGCCATACGTATATACAAGTGAATGTCATATAGTAATTTTTTTAAAAAGGAATGCAACACAGTTATTGATATAGTCACAAAGATGGCCAAATCTCAAAGATATAATAATGACTTTAAAAATCCAGACTAGGAGGCGGAGCAAGATGGTGGATGAGAAACACCGCCAGACAGAGTGTCTCTGCAGAAAAGACAGATTCTAGGAAAAATTAGAAGAAAGAAGCAAGCAGACAAGCATACATCAAAGGGTCAGAAGGAGGGGTACCTGAGACCCCGGGAGACTCCATGGGAGGAGGGTGCAGAGGAGAACTGGAAGCAGAGACCTCCTGAGTAGCCTGGAGACCAGCGGCAAGTGTAGGTGGAGCTCTTAACTTTCTGCTCCCCTGCATCTTGGACTGCTGGTGGGCTCCCCAGTGGGTGGAGATACCTGTGGACACCAGCCCAGAGACACCCACCGTAAGCCTGTAGTGGACACAGCAGCAGGTTCCCAACTCCCTTGGGGCATCTCCGTGTGCATAGACCCGAGCCACGACAAGTGCCATATTGCCTTATTCTCCCCTCCCTCCATCCATGACTGCCGAGAGGGACAATATAGCCACCAGCCAGAGGCACCTCCAGGGAACAGGACCTTCCTTTTTGGGGCCCTACAGCTGACTAAGGGGAACTCAGACTAGGAGCTCCCTACCTGCCAGCCCTCCCAAGTGTTACAGGCCCGGTGATCCCAGGAGAATAGGGCAGACCCTGAGAGACATGAACCCAGCTTGGGCTCCCCATGGGTGAATTAGGACTGGCACTCTTCTTCCTGGTGGGGTAAGGGATTGAACTCCAGGGCCCAGAGGTCAGACCTGCGGACCAGATCCCGTGCACCCAGGTCTTGCATTGCCCAGGGCACAGAAGGGACATACGTGAACAGCCTACTGACGTGTGTGTGCCTTCAGAGGCAGATCAGCATCCTAGAGGGCAACCCTCCTCCCAAAGGGTGGCTGTGCGCCCAGCCTAGGTGGCATTCCTGAGCAGGGAATCTCCCGGCCGGCATCACAGCTAGCGGAAGCCCGGTGGCGTAAGGTCTGGCCTGCTGGCAAAGGCCCAGGAGTAGCCGAGGAGTTGGGGAGGGTGGAAAGAAGTGAGGCCCGCTCCCGACTATGGGTCTCAGACAGCCCCAACCCACACGTAGACTTTCTGACTGAGCGGGGCCACTCCAGCCCCTCCCTGACAGCTTTTCCTGGAAGCAGAAAACAGAACTTTGACCCCTGCTAACGGCATTGGTGGTGCCTGAGGGCAGGCTTACCCAACGCAGCTCCACCCAGACTCACTCCAAGACCAGCCCTCACTGAGGGGGAGAAAAGGACACACCTGGAAGTCCCAGGGCCCCACTGACCACCTGAGGCACTAGAGTGCCTCTCCAGAGGAACAAGAGCTGGTTACAGCACACAAAAACAACAGCATAGCCTGTTCCTCTGAACAAGTGCCACCTACTGACAGGGAGGACATTCTGCACACCTTTTCACAGCACCTACTGACTCATCATATAGGGTGTGGTAGAATCTCACCCACAAACACCATCTACTGGCTCAGAGACTAAACAGGGTGTGTCAATACCCAAACAAAAACCTAAAGACAGAGCACACTGATCACCATGGGAAGAAATCAGCAAAGGAACTCCGGAAATATGAAGAACCAAATGGAAACCACACCCCCAAAGAGGAGCACCAGCCCCTTAGAAATGGACACCAACCAAAATCAGACCACTAAAATGACAGAAGAGGAATTTCAAATGTGGATCGCAAGAAAATTCAACAACCTGCAAGAACAACTGGATAACCAAACATAAAGAAAACACAAAAAGACTCCAGGACCCGGAACAAAAATTCACTAAAGAAATTGAAACAATGAAAAAAATTTAACCAAACTCCTGGAAATGAAGAATCAATTCAAGGAACTACAAAACACAGTGGGAAGCCTCAAGAACAGGGTAGATCAAATAGAAGAAAGAATCTCAGAGATTGAAGATAACACTTTCCAATTAAAAAAATCAGTCACAGAAATAGAGCAGAGAAACAAGAGAAAAGAGCAAAGCCTACAAGAGATGTGGGATTATGTGAAGAAACATAATGTGAGGTCATAGGTTACCAGAAGGGAGAAGAAAACACTCAAAGGTTGGACAAGCTATTTGAAGATATAATAGAGGAAAATTTCCCAGGCCTTGCTAAAAATCTCCAGATACAAGTTCAAGAAACTCAAAGGACCCCTGGGAGATTCAATGCAAACAGGAAAACATCACGACATGCAGTCGTCAGACTAACCAAAATATCAACTAAAGAGGCCCTTCTAAGAGCTGTAAGACAAAAGAAGCAAGTAACATACAAAGTAAAGCCAATCCAAATAACACCAGACTTCTCTACTGAAACTTTACAAGTAAGGAGAGACTGGGGCCCCATTCTCACTCTTCTGAAACAGAACAATGCCCAGCCTAGCATCTTATTCCCTGAAAAACTAAGTTTCGTATATGAAGGAGAAATCAAGACATCCTCAGATAAGCAAAGACTGAGGAAATTCACCAAGACAAGACCAGTCCTTCAAGAAGTACTCAAAACAGTGTTACCCACAGATCACCACAATAAACACTCATGAATGTAAATCTACTCAAAGCTAAAGATCAAAGCCTAGATAGCACAATGGCTCAAGAGAGAAAACAAAGCAATAAAGTTCAACCCAACATAATGAACAGAAATCTGCTCCACCTATTAGTTATCTCAATAAATGTGAATGGCTTGAACTCCCCACTCAAGAGACATAGGCTGG